GAGGGAAGGAGGCGCCGCCGCCCGGCGAAGCGAGCGGCGCCTCGGCCCATGGCACCCTCCTCGAGGGCGAGCCGGGAGGGAGCGGGCAGCCGGCGTCCATTGCCTGTGGGGAGTCCATCCCCTTGGGGCAGCAGACAGCGGCGTCGAGGAAGCAGCGGCCGCTTCGTGGGGAGGCGTGGGGAGATCCCGCATCTGGTCCTCGAGATACGGGGAGGGTGTGGGGAGAGAGACCTCCCCGCGCGTCCAGGCCTCGAGATGTGGGGCGTGGGGGGAGGGCTCCCGCCTCTGGACCTCGAGATAGGGGGAGATACGGGGAGATACGGGGAGAGATTCCGCATCTGGGCCGTCATCGCCGCGCTCGCTTCGAGACCGCCTCGCTGCTGCAGCGGCAGCAGCCGCGCGCACGGCGTGAGGGCGAGGACGAGACGTGTGCACAGGTTCACTGTGTCGCGGCCGAGCGGCGCCTAACGATGGAAGGGAAGGAATGCGCTGGTGACTTCTGAAACTGTGCACTGGTTGACGGTCTCGCGGCCAAACGGCGCCGTGGCAGCGCCGTCGGCGGCGCACCCGGAACCTGAAGATCGGATCCGTCGGAGGGACGGGCGGTCGGCTCCTGCGGCGCCGCCCCCTATGAGTGAATCATGGACTCCTTCATTGATCAATTGATGAGGGACGAGGGTCCGCTCCTGCGGCCCCGCACCACCTCTCTCCTCCGCCGCCGCCCCTCCGCCCTGCGCTGCTGCGGCGGCGGCGGAGGGCGGGAGGGAGCGCCGCTGCGGCCGTCCCGAGCGCGCGCCGCGCGGGGGCGGCTGCTCGCGCGACTGTCCGATGAGCGAGGCGAGCGGCTGGCGGAGGGAGTGCGCTCTGCGCAGCAGCAGCTGGCACTGCAACCCGACAGACGGTAGGTCGTCGTGCGCGAGGAAGGCGAGGCAGAGGGCGCGGAGCCTACATGGTGGGGACGCCGGCGTCGGGGCGGGAGTGCGGTGTCGTGCAGAGGGTGACGGTGTGGAGAGGGATGCGAAGGCAGTGAGTACAGCCGAGCCACGCGTCCGTCCTCTCGAGCGCAGGCCGGGAGACATGAGAAGACATGAGCACGGATCCCGCTTCTAGCGCACGAGCTCGTGCAGCGCGGCGAGCTGGAGGGGCTTGAGGGAGGGGACGTCCTCCGCCTCCCACCCGCCGCCGCCGGACGAGCCGACCCGCCCGCCCTCCCCCTCCCGCCTCTGTGGCGCCGGAGAGCCAGAGTCGGTTGTGCAGGACCGTGCGAGGGCGGGAGGAGCGAGGCCGGCGGCACGGCCGTCGGTCGGAGGCAGCGCCAGCAGCGGGTGCGCGAGGAGCAGCTGCACCTCCGCGTCCGCCCGCGCCTTGGCCACCCGCGTCCGCTCCTCGAGGTCCGCCGAAAGAGCCACCGAGGCACTCTGCGACGGCGGCACCGCCTCTGCCGCCGCCTCTGCCACGGCTTCTGCCGCAGCGAGCAGCTGCAGGTCGCCGGTGCTGAGCGAAGACTGCCGTGAGGGCATGGCGGCCGCCATCAGAAAGAAAAAAAACCGAGCTTCGACCACGCCGAACGTACTGAACGTAGAGCCGAGCGGGAGGAAGAGGGGGAAGACGACTCCGAGGAGGACGAACCAGTGGAAATCCCGTTGTCAGCCGTCACGATGCACCCGAAGGGACCACAGCGCCGGCATCATCAGTGAGGGCACAAGTGTTCGAAGAGAGAGTGGACCTGAGCAATGATATGACTGGGTGGCAAATGATCGCAGTGGGCGTCAGAAGACTCGTCCTTGCGCGAGGAGAGCTCGATAGACTCGAGGGGCCAGGATATGCAGCGAGGAGGGCGGAGCTGCGCCGAAAGGCGAAAGAAGCCGCGAGAACAAGGGACCGGCAGGAGGCGGCGGCGCCGCAGAACGAAGCAGAGGAGAGCGACGCGACAGAAGAAGAAGAGACAAGGGAAAGAACGACGAGAAGGGGGCGACCGCGAGGTGGCATGAAGGTCGCAGCGAAAATCTGCGAGAGACTGCGAAGAGAGATAGGAAGAGGCGGACGCCCAAGGGTGGGCGACGGCTAGCGCATCACACCCCTCTCCTTAAAATCCCTGTGTGGTGGCGGCGTGCCGTCCTCCCATCCCTCCCTTGGGTTGTCCGTTTTCTTTCTTTTCTTTTTTTCGAGGTTCTCGTCCCGCGTCCACCCATACCGTGTTGGTGTCCAGTCTGAGCCCGACTGTTGTTCATCTTTCTACATACATACATATTCTCGAGGTGGATATCCTTTGGCCGCGTTGGTTGGGTAGTGAGGATTGGTGTGACGCGATCCACGCAGGCGTGTTTTCTGGCGGCCGACCGTCAGTGCGCGGAGTTGCCCCTTCTCCCTCCGACTGACTGCCCCGGCTAGTTCCCGAGGTCGTCGGGTGTGACCCCTGCGTCCCCCGAGACCTAGCGCGGGTGGGTTGGAGGGGGGCTCGCTGCAGGGAAGGGCGGTGTAAGAAGCCGATCCCCGTAGTCCGCCCCGCTCCTCCCCATCGGGCCGCATGAGCGGCCACGCCTCGCAGATTCGTTTATCGCGCCTGGATCAGGCGCGCGGGGCATCCCCCGGGTCGCTCGACCAGCGATCCGAGGAGTGGCCGCTATGAGAGGGAAAGAGCGGGGCCCCGACATCTCCTTCAACTACTACCCGCAGGCGGCGGTCAAATTCACCGACTTCCCTCACCACCTCGCAAAGACCATCGAGGGCGACACAGCAGAGGCGGACGCGCTGGTCTCGAGCGCGTGGGATCACAAGAACATCGCGCTGCTGGAGCCGACGTCGACGTGCGGCACGGCGCAGGGCGATCAGGCTTGGGGCATCTCCGCGCACTCCCTTCTTATAGAGAGAGTCCAACCACCGAAGCAGGGGGCGCGAAACCAAAGAAAGCGATCGAAGTCGAGGCCCCGCTTCGGTGACGCACTCCCTTCTTATAGAGAGAGTCCAGCCACCGAAGCAGGGGGCGCGAAACCAAAGAAAGCGATCGAAGTCGAGGCCCCGCTTCGGTGACTCACGTTTTCCCTTCTCATAGAGAGAGTCCAGCCACCGAAGCAGGGGGGCGCGAAACCAAAGAAAGCGATCGAAGTCGAGGCCCCGCTTCGGTGACTCACTTCCTTCTTATAGAGAGAGTCCAGCCACCGAAGCAGGGGGCGCGAAACCAAAGAAAGCGATCGAAGTCGAGGCCCCGCTTCGGTGACTCACTTCCTTCTTATAGAGAGAGTCCAACCACCGAAGCAGGGGACCGCGAAACCAAAGAAAGCGATCGAAGTCGAGTCCCCGCTTCGGTGACTCACTTCCTTCTTATAGAGAGAGTCCAACCACCGAAGCAGGGGGCGCGAAACCAAAGAAAAAACAGAAGACACTCTAGCAAAGAAAGCAGGAGGCTCGATCGATTTTCGCCTAACCACCGAAGCAGGAGGCGCGAAACCAAAGAAAAGCGATCGAAGTCGAGTCCCCGCTTCGGTGACTCACTCCCTTCTTATAGAGAGAGTCCAGCCACCGAAGCAGGGGGCGCGAAACCAAAGAAAGCGATCGAAGTCGAGGCCCCGCTTCGGTGACGCACTCCCTTCTTATAGAGAGAGTCCAACCACCGAAGCAGGGGGCGCGAAGCCAAAGAAAGCGATCGAAGTCGAGGCCCCGCTTCGGTGACGCACTCCCTTCGTATAGAGAGAGTCCAGCCACCGAAGCAGGGGGCGCGAAACCAAAGAAAGCGATCGAAGTCGAGTCCCCGCTTCGGTGACGCACTCCCTTCGTATAGAGAGAGTCCAGCCACCGAAGCAGGGGGCGCGAAGCCAAAGAAAGCGATCGAGGTCGAGGCCCCGCTTCGGTGACGCACTCCCTTCTTATAGAGAGAGTCCAGCCACCGAAGCAGGGGGCGCGAAACCAAAGAAAAGCGATCGAAGTCGAGTCCCCGCTTCGGTGACGCACTCCCTTCTTATAGAGAGAGTCCAACCACCGAAGCAGGAGGCGCGAAACCAAAGAAAGCGATCGAGGTCGAGTCCCGCTTCGGTGACGCACTCCCTTCTTATAGAGAGAGTCCAGCCACCGAAGCAGGAGGCGCGAAACTAAAGAACTTGATTATTTTTTCTCTTCCTGTGTTAGTGCCAGTGCGCGCCAGCGCCAGTCCCGTGCCCAGTGCGGTGCGAGAGAGTTTGCTTGTAAAATTCTCTTCTTGAGCGCATCTCAGTCGTTCTTCACACGGCCATCGCAGAGCAGGTCGTGAATGAGCTTGCCTGTGGCGGGGGTGGGCGGGTGCACGGAGCTAAGTGCCTCGCCACCCTCGCAGGAGTCGCTTAGGCGGCTCCCGTGGTGTACCTGTGTTAGTGCCAGTGCGCGCCAGTCCCGTGCCCAGTGTTGTGCGAGGGAGTTTTGTTGTAAGATTCTCTTCTTGCGAGAGCCTTGACTTGTGAAATTCTCTTCTTGCCTGCTCTCCGCTGTATGCTGGGCGTCGCCGGCTGTCCTTCTGCTTCCCCAGCCTGCCGCCGCTCCGTAGCGCCGACAGCTATGTCGGTGCACACGGCCGCAGCGATCTGCGCTCGGCGACCGCTTAGCACACTTGCGCTGCACGTCGCTGCACCGGCTGCACACTCTCAAGACACGCTCGCCGGCGGCGCTATCCCCTCCGCCGCACCCACACCGCTGGAACGGACTGCGCCTCGGCGCCGCCGTCTCGGGCTGCGGCTGCCGGCACGGCGCTCGATCCGTCGAAGCCGCTCGCCTCGCTGCGGCGACGCTCCAGGTGTGCGCGGAATCATTATTATGGGATCCACCCCAGCGACCTCAGATCGTCGATTAACGCCTGCCCCTCCCTTCCCGCCGATCCACTAGGCGGCGCTGCCGTGCACTGGCGCCAGCGATCTCCGTCCACATCACGCACGCGCGATCGGCAGTCGAGTTACAACCCGCAGCTGTGCTGTGTGCGCGCGCACCACGAACCGTTGTTCGGCGATCTCTCGGCTCCCGCTCGTTGCGGGCGTGTGCTGCTCTCCACGCTCGCGCCTTGAATACGGCGCGGGGCACCCGGTCCCGCCGACGAATGTATCACACCTCTCGTGTCGCGTTTACGAGAGCCGGACACAGAGCCGCTTCATTGGTGTATGACGGTCTGGGTGCGTCTGTTCGGGCGACGTGTCTACTTTTTTCGGCGCAATCGTCTAAGTTCGCGTCTCGGGGGAGTGAGCGGACCCACACTGACATGAATAGTAATGACATGAAATTTTCTGCCAAGAGCCCGACTCGGGCAACGCGCGCACCCCGGGGCCGCGCCGCGCACCCGGCCCTTTTACCGTCGAGTCACGAGTGTACGACGGGGGCGCAGCACAGCGGCGGCCGCCCCACAGAGAGAGGCACGACCGCCGCTGTGCTGCCCGGCGTGCCAACGGAGTGGGCGGCGGGCGGCGGCGCGGCAAGCAGGGGACAGCTCGTGTGTGCGCGCGGTCCTTATCTCGGGTGCTCTCGGGTGCTCTTCGGTAATCTCGGGCGATCTCGCGCAGGAGGGACTCGTCCCGCGCTGCGCGCGCCTAATCTCGGTGATCTCGGCTGATCTCGGCTGATATCGCGCATGAGGATTCATCTCGAGTAATCTCGGGTAATCTCGGCTGGTCGAGCTCGGGTAATCTCGGCTATCACGACCTCGGGTAATCTCGGCTCATCACAGTCTCGAGTAATCTCGCGTAATCTCGGCGCATCGCGATCTCGGCGAGCCTCGGCAGATCTCGGCTAATCTCGCTCCGTGGACGAGGCTGATTAATTGACTAGAGGGGGTGCAATCAATTGACAATGTATTGATTAAAGCAATATCTCTGAGCCGGAGGAGAGGGAAGAGGAGAGGAGAGGAGAGGAGAGAGGAGAGGAGAGAGAAGAAAGGAGAAGGGGAGAGGAGAGGAGAGGAGAGAGGGAGGAGAGGAGAGGAGAGGAGAGAGGGAGGAGAGGAGAGGAGAGGAGAGGAGAGGAGAGGAGAGGAGAGGAGAGGAGAGGAGAGGAGAGGAGAGGAGAGGAGAGGAGAGGAGAGGAGACGAGAGGAGAGGAGAGGAGAGGAGAGGAGAGGAGAGGAGAGGAGAGGAGAGGAGAGGAGAGGAGAGGAGAGGAGAGGAGAGGAGAGGAGAGGAGAGGAGAGGAGAGCACACAGAGAGGAGAGAGGGAGGAGAGGAGAGGAGAGAGGAGAGGAGAGAGGAGAGGAGAGAGGAGAGGAGAGGAGAGAGAAGAAAGGAGAAGGGGAGAGGAGAGGAGAGGAGAGAGGGAGGAGTCGAGGCCTCGCCGCTCCTGCAGCAGCGCCCAGTCGACCCCGTTGGCGCCGAAGAAGGGGTGGTCGCGCAGGGTCGCGAGGCCGTCGGCGCCGAGACGGCGGTCCGGCAGGGGGTGCAGTAGCTCCACCACGAGCTCCACCGCTTCCGCCGAGAGGTGCCCCGCCTCCTCGGGCCACCGGATCGCCTCCGCGTCGGTGTGGTCGAGGATGTGCTCGAAGACCTGAGAAGATTTTGGAAGTGTTGAAGTGTAAAGCTTGCTTCTCGAAAGAAGTTGATCATGTCGGTGCGGCATGTCCGGAAGTGTCTCATAACTCGGAGATGGGACGCGACGATGGGACGCGACGCGCTATCGCTCTCTTTCTCAAGGCTCGTGCGGTCGGGTGTGTGCTCGAACACGTCTCTCCACCGTGCCCGCTGCGACAGGGGGGGGGGTGTGCAATCTCGGCGAGTCTCGGCGGATCTCGGCGGATCTCGGCGGGTCTGCACCTCCTCCACCGTGCCGCCCGTGAAGGGCGTGTAGCCGGTCAGCAGCTCAAAGGCGAGACAGCCGAGCGCCCAGAGGTCGACCTGGGAGGCAGGGGCAGCACCACCTCACTGCACGCTGAGCTGGTCGAGGCGCAGGGCCCCGCAGCTCCGCACCCCCCTGCCGTGCCGCTCCCCAAGCAGCAGCTCCGGCGCCATGTAGTCCGGCGTCCCAACCTTGGCGCGCAGCTCGGCCTGCTGCGGCATCATCGCCGACGGCGGCAGCGTCGGAGCCGCCCGCCCTTCCGCCTGCGGCGAGCCGCCGCCGCCCGGAGAGGAGGGAGGCGGGGAGCGGGGCGGCGGCGGCGCAGCGTGCCGAAGCGAGGCCGCCGCCCCCTCCCCCTCGGCCGCGCGGGCGGAGGCGTCGGGCGGCCGGCAAGCGTCGGCCCTCGTCGTGCCGTCGGGGGAGCCG